AGCGAAATGCATCTCATGTAAAATTTTTTTTCTCTCAGGCCAAAGTAATATTGCTAATAGTTCAGAAAAATTTATAGAACCAGTCAAACAATCAACCAACCAAGGAAAAGCTACGGACTTTCAACCATCAAAAGTTAACTACAGCAAATTAGAGTGCATAAAAAAACTATTAACAAACGCGAAAACGATTCAAAAACCACTCATTTGCGAAAATGCCGTTGATGCAGAAAAAAATTACAGCTACTTAAACACCTCCTAAACATATTAACTGCTATAGATTTCTGGATGTGAAATACTGCTAAAAAAAAAGCTAAACGAAAAAAGCGAAAAGTAAAAAAAAAAATTATGGGCCAATTCTTTCCTTTCCATTTGATCTGAAACCACCAAAACTACTGCTACTGAATAAAACAAAAAACAAACGAAATCATAACAGAGCTTTAAGGAAATAGAAACAACAAATAATGGCAGAAAACTACAAGAGTAATACAAGGTAATTTCATTATTGCCACTCTCTCTGAAATTACAAACCTTTGCAAAACTGCTGACATCCACAAAGTAATTACGGCCGTTAATGAAACAATAAATTCAGAAAATGAATATAAATGAACTGCGAGATAAGCAAAAAAATAAAAATAAAAATAAAAGCAGGAATATACAGAAAAAAAAAGTCAAAAAATAATTAAAGCTTTTTAAAATTTTTCAACCATTACACTAAGTAATGCTTCTGAAAAAAAAAAAAAAAAAAGTAATACAGAAAGTTTACAAAATGACGCAATAATCTTACCGCTTATCAGTGTTTTGGTAAATATACGTAAGCATCTGAATGCTAAATAGAACGCTTCATTCTGAACAGACCTAAAACACATATTTTTTCAATAATCAGAATAACTGAGGATGTAGATGATGATGATCACCATCATCATCATCTTCACTGCTACCAAGAGCAGCAATAACAACAACAAAAATAACCCATAAAGAAACATATTAACGCGCGCGTAAACAAATATGAACAGAGATACAAAAAAAAAAAAATCTGAATCATAATCAGTTGCTGCATACAAACACGCATCTGAAAAAACAATAGCGAAAACCGACAAGGTTGTAGCTAATCCATGTTAATATACACAGAAAAAAAAAAGTGAAACAGAAACGAAAGGAACAAAATCAATGTTGGAATTAGCGTTGAAGCAAAAAAAAAAAAAAACTGCTTTAAAATATTGACGAATTAATAAAAGTATGCGAAATGTGGGAGATGAAAAGCAAGTAGTACCCAGACCAAGAATAGCCAAATCCCAAAAGCGACACACACTTACACAAATAATCCAGTTCCACTCTTTTTTTTTCTTTCTGTTCTATTCCACCCTATTCTGATCTTTATGTTCATATGCAACAAAATACCTATATGAAAACAAAAACAAAGACAAGAAGAGAAAGAAAAACAAAACTAACAAAATACTTTCGTGCTTTCTTTTTAAATATAAAGAAAAGCAAAAAAAAAAAAAACTACTACTACTACGTCAAAATAATGATTAAGTTTTCTTTTTGTTTTTTCAACAAACAGAACAACAAAAACAAACTTTTTGACAATGTCAAAGGATAAAATTTCTGAAACATCTACTTCCATTGTTCTTCTTTTTTCTCCTTCCTTTTTCTTCCTCCGTTCAAATGTGCGACACAACTCTAAAATAATGATCATTAGAAAAACAGAAAAAAAGCACTACGACGACAAAAACAAAAATAATAACGATAAATTATACTGTTACCACTATTACAATCGTTTAAATTAATCAATCTGATATATTTTTCAATCAATCACTTATGCTAACCCAACCCTTAATCATCTAGGTAATATCACTTGAAACTGTCGTCAATATTTTTGCCTACAGAAAATAACTTAAGATAAATTTTACGCAAAAAAAAAAAAAAACAAATCCTTTCATGCAGAAACTAACAAATACACTCATCAACTTAATCATCACTATCAGCTTCAGAAGTTTCTTCTGCAGCCGCATTCCTAGATCGTTGTTCCTGCAGTCGATTATCAGAAAATTCAGAAGACCAATAAGAACGGTACGTGGGGGTACTAGTGAATGCACAAGCACCATTTGCTGACGACGGCCGGGACGGCCCAGAGTTGGTTGCCGTCGTTGGCTGTCTGCCCGGCTGCCCCCTACCCCTCCCCCTTATTGTACATACCCGGACAGCAAGCAGCATCAGCCACTCCGTGAAGATGCACGCACACGCAAACAAGTGATCAGCACCAATATTAGCACCAACAGGAAAAACAGTCAACAGTCATCTATAGCCATTAGTGGCAGCCAACAACAGCAACTGCAGTAGTACCAGCAACAACACTACCATCATGGACCCAACACTCGGCCGGGCACCCGCTGGTATGGCATCCACCTCCTTCACTGGCCTTCTTGCCCGTTTTTTAATAATTTTTTTGATTGACGTATTTGGTGATGTTGCTTGCTCGCTCCCGGCAGCAAAGTTGTCGTACTGAGCTCTGTTGACGATATGTCGTATGATCAGTACAGTAATAACTTTGTATGAAAGACCTGTTAAGTCCATAAAATGACAAAGACACCGACGACTTGTCGACACTGTTTATTTTCCAGCTGCAGTGACTCAGAATTTCTACTCGGTTGTTCATCTAGCAATCTCGATTTGGTAAAGCAATTTCAAACTGCAGTTTGCCGTCCAGCTTTGTTTACCTTTCTTCAGTACTGACTTGATAAACTTTGTTATCAGTCAGTCATACGTTTACTTTCACTTGTTTCTCTTCCGTTTCTCACCTTTTCTGCTTTATTGCTCATTGAACGTCACGACGAAAATAAAAAAATACTAATTAATACTTGGTTTTAGTTATGCGGGGACAGCATTTAACAAAGAAATTATGAGCAAATCCACTAACTAATAGTCGTTTTTTAACAAAGTTTAAATGCCTGTGTTTAAAGCGTTCATCGAAAGGTAAAACGATAAGCGGAAGGACTTCTTGATTTTGTAGTTTTTTTTTTTGTTGACAAAAATCCATCAAAAAGGTACCTAAACTGAATTAAAAGCCCCGTCAGCATTAAGTTATCACCATTCCGATTGCAATTTTCCAGGATGGAGTAGCTTAAGAAATTTTGGTTGTAATGAATACCTGAGACTTGTGAAATCAAAGAAAAAAAAAAAAAA